CACAGCAGCCACCAAAGAAAAAAATGACGGATCACCTCCTCACCCGAGCTCGACGCGGCTCCATCACTGATATGCAGCTTTGCGGACCTCCATGGTGGCTCACCAAAGATGATGCCATTGTCGTTGAATGAATCAGACCGGGGCAACACCCCGGACACGCTATCAAACTCCAGATCTGAGACCCCACAACGACTAAGACGCCGAAGTAGGAAACCACACCTGCCATCCATCAACCACGAACCCAACACATGTTCTGTCTTCCAGATATCGTCGATGCAGATCACAATCTGCATCTTCTCCCGAACTACCTCCCAAGCTCCGCACCGACGCTGGAGCAGACGTCGTCGCAACGGCGGAGCCCAAGGACACAAGTCCACCACAAGGATGTCGTCGCCACCACGATATCCCCGCTTGAACAGACTGGTTCCCAAATCCATCACCGAGCAAAGAGACGATCACCTCACCGGAGAAGAACCTGGAGCTTCTTTATTCAGCATCGTCGTCGCTGCCGTCGAAGCCAAGACGTCGGACGATCTAAAAACCTAAGCTATTAGGGCTCTAAACCTAAAGCAAAAACGATCCGCACGCACGGGATCCGACGACCCCCCTCACGACCAATGACCAAGAGGTCGCCGGCGGAGGAGAGCCACCGGAAAACGGCGCCGGAAAGATGGCTCTCTTGGCGGCGCCAGCTAGGTTTTAGTCGCTAGCCAAACCCGCCCCCCACAAAAAGAGACCTGTCGTCGATTGCAAGTTTTCTACATGAAAGTTGCTCAGAATTTCGAGGCGAATCCGGATACGCGGTCCGTTCGTCTGCCACACGTCCCTAGCATAGCAAACATGCAACTTTTCCCCTCCGGTTCATCTGTCTGACAGATGTCCGGAACCGGGATACTTTCCCGAATGTTTCCCCCTTCGCCAGTAACGCCTAGCACTGCGTTAGAACACCTCTAGCCCTGCTTATAATCATGTTGTGCATATGTTTGCGTGTATTTACTGTTTCTTCCCCCTCTTCCCTCCGGTAGACCCCGTGACCGCTGCTGATGCCCATGTGATCGACTACGTCGACGACGACCCTTCTTCCGTTTCAGCAGAGCTTCCAGGCAAGCCCCCCCTTTGATCATCCCGATATCGCCCATTCTATACTCTCATGCTTGTATTAGATTTTGCTACTGTATTTGATTGCTCCTATTCTGATGCATAGCCTACTTTTGTACCTGCTTATTGTTACCTACCTGCTTATCCTAAACTGCTTAGTATAGGTTGGCTAGTGATCCATCAGTGACCCCCACTTGTCCTTGTTGCCCCTGCTTCATCATCGACGCCTCGATCGACATGATCGACGACCAGAGCCCAACACCTCATATCACATCACGCCCCTTTAGTTGCTCGACTTTGCAGAGCTACTATCGAGTGCCGAGGGTGATCCCTCATAACGCACTCCTGATGATAATTCTGTAGTGTAGCTATTCGGTCGTGGTCATCGAGGGTGATTTCCTCTTTCACCATTCCCGATACGGCTCTATCATTCAACACCTGAAGTGTGAACCTCGAGGGTGGTCCCTCTTACGTTCACCTTGATTATTACATTGAGTGGAATCCTACGGGGGTGATTCCTCGGGTTTTCCCTATGATGTCTGGACACACCGTTACCTTGACTCTACTAGAGACCGTTGTGATAGCCGAGCGGGCCCGGAGAGCACCCGTGCGATATGACAGTGGCGGCTGGCTGTTTAGCGGTATCACCCAGGAAGGGGTGATAGCTCCGGGCTTGTCCCAACAGCCGTCGCTCCTTTTAATAATGCACTAAAAGGTTTGGGTATTTGTTCTGAGTTGGCCTTTGGCCTTTACGCACTAACCACCACACGAGAATAGTTTTGGGCCTCGACGTCGCAGTATCAGCCGAAGCTTTGTCAGACGTCCAGTTCAGCATTGTGGCACGGTCGGATCGTGCTGGCCATCCGAGGCGGTGCTGGTATCCACCCTGCACACAACGCCCCAGAGTGCTGCGGGCGATGGGCCCAAGACCATGGAGTGCTTAGGATGTAGACCGGCGGGGACCTCTCTGCTGAGCCTAGGTAGGGCTGCGACGTGTTGATCTTCCGAGGGTGGGCATTGACCCCAGAAAGGTGTGTCCGGCCAGAGTGATCGAGCGTGTTGGGTAACGTGGTGCACCCCTGCAGGGAAGACATATATTCGAATACCGTGTCCACGGTAATGGACGTTCAGACTTGTATCCTGATCTTATACAACTAGAAATGGATGCTTGATATGTGATGGATATGTGGCTTCGGGATTGCTTTCTCGCTGGGAGTCGAGGAAGGATCTCTGGGCGTTAATGCTACAACATGCTTGTCAATTATAAACTGCTATTCTTTACTCTTCTACACGCTGCAAGATGCTCGGAGCTGCGTGAAGATGCTAGTCTTTTATAGGCTAGGCTTTTCCCCTCTATTCTGGCATTCTGCAGTTCAGTCCACAGATACAACCCTTCCATTTGATACAAATGCATACTTAGTATAGATCTGATGCTTGCGAGTACTTTGGATGAGTACTCACGGTTGCTTTGCTCCCCTTTACCCCCTTCTTCCTTCTTTCTGGTTGTTGCAACCAAATGGTGGATCGCAGGAGCCTGATGATGCCACCCCCGCAGACTACTACTACTACCCAGAGGGTGCCTTCTACTACGTGGAGCCCGCCGACGACCAGGAGTAGTTAGGAGGTCCCAGGTAGGAGGCCTTGCCTCTTCGATCGTTGATGTTTGTGCTAGCCTTCTTAAGGCAAAAACTTGTTTAACTTATGTATGTACTCAGATATTGTTGCTTCCGCTGACTCTTGTGCTTTCGAGCTTCTGTATTCGAGCCCTCGAGGCCCCTGGCTTGTAATATAAAGCTTGTATTATTTTAATTTGTGTCTAGAGTTCTGTTGTGATATCTTCCCGTGAGTCCCTGATCTTGATCGTACACGTTTGCGTGTATGATTAGTGTACGGTCGAGTCGGGGGCGTCACAAAGAGATTGCCTACTTCATGAAGATCTACCCTAGTGAGGCAAGTCCTTCGTGGGCGATGGCCATGATGTGATAGACAAGGTTGCTTCTTCGTGGACCCTTTGTGGATGGAGCCCAACGTGGACTCGCGCAGCCGTTACCCTCCATGGGTTGAAGTCTCCATCAATGTGGATGTACGATAGCAACATCTATCGGAACCACGTCAAAAACATCCGTGTCTCCAATTGCGTTTGCACACTCCAATCCCATCTCTGTACTTTCTTGCAAGTTGCATGTTTTACTTTCCGCTACTCATATACTCTTTGCATGCTTGCTTGAATTGTAATGTATTTGCTTGAAATTGTGCTAATCTATCACCTCAACTTGAAAAACTTAAAAACTGCCAACTTTGTTTGTTGAGGGTCTAATCACCCCCCCCCCCCTCTAGACACCTCTTCTCGATCCTTTTCAATTGGTATCAGATCATTGGTCCCCATTGCTTTGGTTTAATCACCATTGAAGGAAAATGGATGAGTCTACATTGGGGAGTCTTAGACATAGAGTGCCTACACTTGATGGGGAGTACCTTCATGAGTGGAAAAATGAGATGCTTGTTATTTTTAATGAATATCATTTGAAGAAGTACATTACTAGCCCTTGTGCACCTCATGTTGATCCTAAGCATCATATCCTTGATGAGTCTATTAACATGATCCGCAACCTTATAACTGTTAATCTTATCATTAGAGGTTTGCCTAGAAACTTGATTAGTTGCTTGCCTATTCTTGATTGTGCCTACACTATATGGAGATTTTTTGAGTAAAGATTTCCAAACTATTCCTTGCAAAATCTAGATGAGATTCGTCATAAGTCTATTGCTTTGAGTAAGATGAATTCCAATGATCCTAAGTTAGTCAAATAATAATACCCAAAAAAACATAAAAATTCTATATGAAATGCAAAAAATAATAATTATAGCTATGCCGACGGCGCCAGGGGCAGACAGTCAGCACGCGGGGCATCGACGATGTGTCATCTATGCCGATGGCAGCCGTCGGCATAGGTCTTGGTCGGTGCGGTTTAGATCGATCACGTGGAACCTGTATCTATGCCGTCGGCCGGCCGTCTTCGCCGTCGGCATAGTTCGGACGCCGTTTGCCGCCCGTCAGGAGCAGGGTCGCCGGGCCTGCAGCTATGGCGACGGCCCGTGTATGCCGACGATAACTGTAGGCGTAGCCTGGGCTAAGCCGACGGCTTTTCTGTGCCGACGGGAGCTGTCGGTATAGCGGGGTGTAGCCCGACGGCCATTGTACGCCGACGGCCTGGACCCAGCTGTCGGCATAGCCTGAATTAGACTGACGGGGGCCGTCGGCATATATTTGGCCGTCGGCATCGAGCCCTGTTCCGGTAGTGGCTGATCAGATGTCAAACAACTCAAGGTATATATCGTGACAGTGACTTGCAGTATCTTGCCTGCGGTTGCCGGTGACGGCAAGAGAATAAGCATAGTCGTTTTCAGGGGAGGGCGCTTGTACTACATATTATACGTTGGGGTCAACTCTGGACGAGCAATACAATAGAGAGCGGCATGAGCTTGGCAGGAAGATGTCCATGGTCTACATGTTCGTCTCTTGACGCGCCAATGGGCCACCATCTTCCCATGACAAGCCACTACAAAAACAGCACAAAGCAAGCAAAGCAACACCAGTAACACACACTGGGTAGTCGGCCGGCCATGGCCACCACCGTCAACCCCGCGGACCCGGAGGCGCTAGAAGGCGGTGACGGCGACAGGAAACCGATCAGGGGCGCCGCCATGTCCCTGCTTGTCCAGGCGCGCGACAACATGGCGTTCCGGTCGGTGTGGTCGGAGCTGAACGGCGCCATGGGCGACCTGGCACATACATCCCCATCGTGCTCTCGCTGGCGCTCTCCCGCGGCCTCGACCTCGGCACCACCCTCGTCTTCACCGGCGTCTACAACGCCGTCACGGGACTCCTCTACGGCGTCCCCATGCCCGTCCAGCCCATGAAGACCATCGCCGCCGTCGCCCTCTCCGACGCCTCCTTCGGGGTCCCCGAGATGATGGCCGCCGGCATCCTCACCTCGGCGTTCGTATTCGTCCTCGGGGTCACCCGCCTCATGAAGCTCGTCTACTGGTTCGTGCCGCTTCCCGTCGTCCGCGGCATCCAGCTCGCACAGGGGCTCAACTTCGCCATGGCCGCCGTCAAGTACATCCGCTACGAGCAGGACCTCGGGAAGAGCAAGTCCCTCGGCCGGCGCCCCTGGGCCGGCCTCGACGGCCTTGTCCTCGCCATCGTGGCCATCTTCTTCGTCGTCCTCGTCAACGGCACCGGCGACGATCACAGCACAGCCGTCCAGGAAGAAGAAAGGGGAGGAGATCAGGAGGAGGATAATAGTGGCCGCTCTTCCCGCTTGCGTAAATTGAGGCGGCGCCTGCGGTCGGCGACGATCCCGTCGGCGGTGATCCTGTTCGTGCTGGGCGTGGTCCTCGGCATCATCCGGCACCCGGCGGCGCTGAGGGAGCTGCGCGCGGGTCCGTCGCGGATGCGCGTGGTGCGCATACCGAGGGAGGCTTGGAAGCAGGGGCTGATCAAGGGCGCGATCCCGCAGATCCCGCTCTCGGTGCTCAACTCGGTGGTGGCGGTGTGCAAGCTGACGCGCGACCTGTTCCCGGAGAAGAAAGAGGCGTCGGCGACGTCGGTGTCGGTGACCATGGGCGCCATGAACCTGGTGGGTTGCTGGTTCGGCGCCATGCCGTGCTGCCACGGCGCGGGCGGGCTGGCCGGGCAGTACAAGTTCGGAGGGCGCAGCGGCGCGTGCGTGGCGGCGCTGGGTGGGCTGAAGCTGGCGCTGGGGCTGGCGCTCGGCGGCTCCATGCTGCGCGTGCTCGCCGCGTTCCCTGTGGGGCTGCTGGGCGTGCTGCTGCTGTTCGCCGGCGTCGAGCTGGCCATCGCGGCGAGGGACATGTCGTCCAAGGCGGAGGCGTTCGTCATGCTCGTCTGCACCGCCGTGTCGCTCGTCGGCTCCAGCGCCGCGCTGGGGTTCCTCTGCGGCATGGTCGCGCATGGCCTGCTGCTGCTCAGGGCACTCGCAGTTTCCATATGAAATCAAAACACTCATGCTGATGCATACATGTACATCTCGTGCATCCATCGTCATCCCATCTCTATGTTTTACATGGCAATCTGCGTCAAGTGTGCACTTCTCTGCTGTAGCAAATAGTTGGGCTAGCATGGAAAGTGTCGGTTTTCATTTGTAATTATTCCCTTTTCTGATATCTAATTTCTATTAAAGAAACCAGCATTCCACTACAAGAAAAAACATATATTGCTTTGTGTTGAGCAATAAGCCGAGTGTGAATTATCGACCTCTATGCTTATGGAGGTGTAACACCTGGTCCATAACGTAAAACCCACCGCAAAAAATGAACTCTCTAATTATATCACTCAAAGACAAGACACACCCATAATACGCTCGCTCAGCATATTAAGTAAAATGCGTCTGGCTTATAATCAACGCAAGGCTTATGCACGTGTATATGAGCGCTTGTGTATGTACTATGTTAAAGAAAAGGCTTACGTCCATGTCATATGGCCATGCTCCCCGCACTTGACAGCTGACGGCGTATTGTCTTGGCACGTGGTGCCCTCTGCTCGGCCCCTGGCCCAGTTGTAGCCGTCATGCCACTTTTTTGGCCGATGGGTTGCTCCAATTCACCCGCCTTACACGTTTCCTAAGTCCTCGACAGATGATGCTCGGTTTATGTCTGTATGCTGACAAGGTATACGCCGAGTGTCCACTCGGCATAGCTATTGCCGAGGTTGATTCGTCTTATGCCGAGTGGTTTGCACACTCAGCCTTAAAGGCTTTTCCTATAGTGTTCAACACACAAACAAAAGCCCCAGAAAGCAAAGGAAAAGAGATAAAAACCCACTTAATGGACACGCCCAAAACAAGAAAGCAAAGGAAAAGAGATAAAAACCCACTTAATGGACACGCCCAAAACAAAGTGATCTTTCATCTCATGGAGGAGAGGACAGAGAACAGAGGCAACAAGCGAAGCTGGCCAAAGTCCCTTTCTAGGAGGAAAAGTATGTATTGTGGTGCCGATTTTTGCTACACCTATGGTTTGTTAGGGTTTAGGGTTAGGGTTTAGTACTGTGGTTGCCGGATGACTCGGCAGATTCTAAGGCTGGTCGTAATGGTGAGTATCATATACTAGTATCATGCATATGATACTAGTGTTTGCATGATATTAGTGTATGATACGACGTCCGTAATACATAATATCATAAGTTAGTATCTTACGTTGCCTTATTAATTGCCATGCATGACATAAAGTAGTACTACATTTAATATGATACGGTATCATGATATGATACCACACCCTCTTTTTCCTCATTTAGTTGTGTGCCACATCATTCAAAAAGTCTAGTTAACATGCATGATACCACTTATGATACTCTCATAACGACCAACCTAATGGAGATTATCAAGGCACGGGCCCACCCTGAAATTCAAGGGGAGAGATTTGATTAGTGGCAAGAAATGTTTCATTTTTTATAAATGGAATATATTATTATGCCGGAGATACCAATTACACCCGACCTCTGCAACAATGCAATATCGTAATGACATTACGGATGCACACAACCAAAAGACAATAAGAAGAAGAAGAAGAAAATGATCCCGCAACTATGATTAATTTCTCGTAGCTGCAGCATGAACCACAACCTAGACAACACCCAAAGTCCTAATTCTCCTAAAACGACGCCTCCAAGAAGGCAACAGTGCAGAAGCACCGTCATCGCTCGATCCTAGATCTTAGGTTTTCACCCTATAGAAGATCCACGCTCTCAAAACAGTGCCTTCAACAAGGTCACCGCCAGACACAAGCAATTCAGGCCAGACCTTGGGCTTTCACCCCGAAAGCTAAGACTTTGTACTCCGCTGTGTTACCGCCCCCACTTGCCGATGCCGGTGCCACAAGTAACAAATCACCAAGCAAAGTCCTCATCGCCGCGAAGACTTGATCCGCTATAACAACACCTCAGACCTCAGCCACCATGACGTTCTTTGTCACTATCTTCACCATGGAAATCGTAATACCGACATGTTCCATACTATCAACAGACAATGAAGCTTCGTGTCACACCCTCCTGAAGCCACTTGGGCTGAAATAGGGGCGCACGTGATGGAATCACATCTGATCTAGAAATATATAGGCGTCAAGCACCCAATGAAGATCTCCAGCAGAGCATTCCGGAACTCGCCAATGCCCAGATCCATGAAGGTCGGCAACCGGCAGAACACCATATTAAAGCAAAGAAGAACCGAAGGACCATGCCACCCGCCGGCTCCCAATAGCAGGCCGGAGATTTCAGCAGGCACCACCGCCACCACCCGCACCACGCGAAGATGAGTAGCTGAGCCGCACCGAGCCCCCTGAACCAGACGTCGTGCCGCCCTCGCGGCCACAGCTGCAGTCACGGTCGCCGGAAAAATTCGGGGCGCCGCCCCGTCTCCCATCTCCGCCGTAAGAACCATGCCGTCCAGGGCCACCATGGAGCTCCAGCTGGAGATCTTGCAACGCAATAGAGATGGGGCCCTCCCCGCATCAATCGTCTGGCGAGGATGAGAACCCGCCACCGCCGGCAGCGAGGGGAGGAAGATCGGAGGAGGAAGGGGCGGCGGCGCGCTCCTGGTATCCGCCTGAGTCGCCCCTCCTGGGAGCGATGCGGGGGCGATCCCATTTCTTCACTGGGAGCGATGCGGTCCTCAAACCTTTCAAGAAGAAAAGTTTCATAGGGCACATCTTAGTAGGTGTAGCATTTTCGCACCATGCACCACCTGTAAAATTAGAATCTTAGGGACACTGAACTATGGAACAACAACTCAAAGCAACCAGCTAAAGAGGAAATCAATATGTGATGTACGTCCCCGGATTACTGTAAATAGACGTAAATTTGGTATCACTAGATACTTCTCTTTGTGTGCATTTTATTTTGCCGAACCAATGCATAGTTGTGTTTCGCGTGCCTTTAAACTTCGTGATATAGTCACGTTGGCTACAGGGATTACCCAAGCGGGTATTGGACTCCCATCCCCGTCTCCGTGATAGCCTTTCCATGCACATCCCCATGTTGGGGAACGTTGCATAAAATAAAAAAATTCCTACGTTCACCAAGATCCATCTATGAGTTCATCTAGCAACGAGAGAGAGAGATGCATCTACGTATCACTTGTAGATCGCGTGCGGAAGCGTTCAAGAGAACGGGGTTGAGGTAGTCGTTCTCGTCGTGATCCTATCACCAGAGATCCTAGCGCCGAACGGACGGCACCTCCGCGTTCAATACACGTACGGTCAGCGTGACGTCTCCTCCGTCTTGATCCAGCAAGGGGGAAGGAGAGGTTGATGAAGATCCAGCAGCACGACGGCGTGGTGGTGGATGCAGCAGGACTCCGGCAGGGCTTCGCCAAGCAACTACGGGAGGAGGAAGAGGTGTAGCAGGGGAGGGAGGCGCCAAGACTCAGGGTGCGGCTGCCCTCCCTCCCCCCCTCCTTTATATAGGCCCCCAGGGGGGGCGCCGCCCCTGGAGATTGAATCTCCCAAGGGGGGCGGCGGCCAGGGGGGGTGGAGTGCCCCCCAAGGCAAGTGGTGCGCCCCCCACCCACCCTAGGGTTTCCAACCCTAGGCGCAGGGGAGGCCCAAGTGGGGGGTGCACCAGCCCACCAGGGGCTGGTTCCCTCCCCACTTCAGCCCACGGGGCCCTCCGGGATAGGTGGCCCCACCCGATGGACCCCCGGGACCCTTCCGGTGGTCCCGGTATAATACCGGGTGACCCCGAAACTTTCCCGATGGCCGAAACAGCACTTCCTATATATAATTCTTTACCCCCGGACCATTCTGGAACTCCTCGTGACGTCCGGGATCTCATCCGGGACTTCGAACTACTTTCGGTATGCTGCATACTCATATTCATACAACCCTAGCGTCACCGAATCTTAAGTGTGTAGACCCTACGGGTTCGGGAGACATGTACACATGACCGAGACGGCTCTCTCGTCAATAACCAACAGCGGGATCTAGATACCCATGTTGGCTCCCACATACTCCTCGATGATCTCATCGGATGAACCACGATGTCGAGGATTCAAGCAACCCCGTATACTATTCCCTTTGTCAGACGGTATGTTACTTGCCCGAGATTCGATCGTCGGTATCCCAATACCTCGTTCAATCTCGTTGCCGGCAAGTCACTTTACTCGTACCGTAATGCATGCTCCCGTGACCAGACACTTGGTCACTTTGAGCTCATTATGATGATGCACCACCGAGTGGGCCCAATGATACCTCTCCGTAATACGGAGTGACAAATCCCAGTCTCGATCCGTGTCAACCCAACAGACACTTTCGAAGATACCTGTAGTGCACCTTTATAGTCATCCAGTTACGTTGTGACGTTTGGTACACCCAAAGCACTTCTACGTTATCCGGGAGTTACACGATCTCATGGTCTAAGGAAGAGATACTTGACATTGGAAAAGCTCTAGCAAAACGAACTACACGATCTTGTGCTATGCTTAGGATTGGGTCTTGTCCATCACATCATTCTCCCAATGATGTGATCCCATTATCAACGACATCCAAATGTCCATAGTCAGGAAACCATGACTATCTGTTGATCAACGAGCTAGTCAACTAGAGGCTCACTAGGGACATGTTGTGGTCTAAGTATTCACACGTGTATTACGATTTCAGGATAATACAATTATAGCATGAATAAAAGACAACTATCATGAACAAGGAAATATAATAATTATCCTTCTATTATTGCCTCTAGGGCATATTTCCAACAGTCTCCCACTTGCACTAGAGTCAATAATCTAGTTACGTTGTGATGAATCGAACACCCATAGAGTTCTGGTGTTGATCATGTTTTGCTCGCGGAAGAGGTTTAGTCAACGGATCTGTGACATTCATATCCGTATGTACTTTGCAAATATCTATGTCTCCATCTTGAACATTTTCACGGATGGAGTTGAAACGACGCTTGATGTGCCTGGTCTTCTTGTGAAACCTGGGGTTGCCGCTATATATAGCAGCAACTTCTCTTGTGGCTTAGGTGCGACAAGTGTTGGAGTGGAGGACAGGTATCTCTTTAAGTCCTGCAGCGCAGCCTCCGCTTCCGGAGTCCATTTCATTGGACCTGCCTTTTTCA